CCAATGAGCTCTTCTTGGACTTGAGGCGATGGAGTTCATCTATCTTGAGCAATCCGAAGGTCTTGGAGAACCACTTGAGGGTGTTCCACACCTGCCGCAACTTGCACGGGGTGACCTCCTCATCGGCGAGCTGGTTGAGGAGAGAGCGGACATGTCGTTCCTGCCATGGAATGACGGTGAAGCCTCTCTTGCGGAGACTCTCGTAGACCAGGCAATGTTGCCTGAGCGTCCGGAACCTGCTGTCCCCCAAGAGGTCCAATGCTTCCTTGCGGAAGTCCTCCCCCAGGATGTCCTGCATGTATGCAATGTGCTCCGCAAAGGGGGCGAAGTGGGCAAGGAGCCGTTCCGCCCATTTCCCGCGCATATGGAGTTCCAGCGCTCGCTGGGTCGTGGGCTCCATTTCCCTGATCTTCCCGGGCCTCCAGTGCCTCCACTTCAGAAGCTCCGGCTGTTGGAGTGGGGGTGGGTCATCTCGCGAAAACCACCTCAGTTGGTCCTGGCGGTCCCATTCATTCTCCAGCGGGGAAAAGTTCTCGCTCAGCTTGCCGTCCGTAGCCGCCATGAGGAGGAACCATAGGCTGTCCCAAAGGTCGGCCAGGTCCGCCGCGGACAAAGGCTGGGGAAGCCTGCCCGCCGCCTGGTACCACTTGGTCATCTTGGCCCACCGGAATGCCCGAGGGTTCCAGGAGCCGAACGAAGCGGATGGCCGGCTCCCCGCCCAGCTGCCTCCCTTCCTCTGCCGTGCCGTGGCGCAGGCACATCAGGACCAGCAGCTCCCCGTCCGTCTGTCTCGGGGAGAAGGACTCATCCGCCAACGTGTCCCGACCCTTGGAATGCGGTCCCAAAGGCGAGTGTAAGGCGGGCGCAAAAGAAACTTTGTAGAGACCCTAGCCATGATGAAAACAGGGGTTCGAGCCTCCTATCGAGCGGCCGGGACCCAACCACGGCACACTGCATGCATGTTCCAACCCCGCTGGATGCCGAGTTCAAATGGGGCAGGCAGGCAGCCTGCAGCCCAACAGGACCCGAGAGTCCACCCCCCGGAAATCCCTAAAAACCACGGAGGGGGGGGAAGACCAACCCGACGGGGGATTCCCCAAAACCCCCAAGGGGACCTCAGGGAACCCAGGGTCAGCCGCAGCCACTTTCTCCAAACTGTGGCCGGTATGGCCGGTCCTTGGGGCAGCCAAAGCGTGCAGCCTCCCGATCGAGGCAAACCGGCAGTCGTGGTGTGTTGAACAGGGGGGAAACCAAGGTGAAAGATGAACCCAAAAGAAGAACCTTACTCCTCCCCCCACCCGAGACGGGGCCAGAGGCACCCAAATCCCGGTGGGAAGAGATCACACGACTCCACGTCCAAAAGGGTTGTGAGACACTACCTAGCGGCTCTCACCCCTCAAGATCGCCTCCTTTGCCACCGAGTGGATGGCCGCCAGCCCCGACTTCTCCGGGTTGCTCAAGATGACCGACCACAAGGCAGTGGAGACATCCCCCAGGCCATTCGAGGAGCTGAATCGCATACGCGGGGTGCTCGCATCCCCAAGGACTAGCCGCTCGTCCCTGGGTGGCTCCGTCGGCTCCACCCGCTTGTAGAACTCCATCCTGTCCCGGATCCACTGATTATATAGCTGCTCCGGGGGCTCGTCCATCACCAGCTGCAGGCATGTGGCCTTGTCCTTGTGCCACCCCGTGATCTGGAGCAGCCTGGTCCCCCCACGGCTCGCCCTCCAGAAGCCCTTGCAGAACCTGCACATGTAGCCTCCGGTGGTCTTGAACTTCTCCTTGCCCACCACTTCCCATGCGCTGATGCTGGGCAGGACCAGGCCGCACTCCACGGAGGCCCAAAACACGTGCTTCGTCTCCTTCGGGAAGTGCTTGTTGATGTACTTCCGGCCCGCAACCGCCGTGACCGTGGACGCGGTGATCGGAGGGTACTGCCTGGTACCCTGGTCCGGCGTGCGGAGCGTGGTGTCCGCTCCCCCCAGAATCTTGGCCTTGGGGTCCGATTCCTTAGCCGCTCCGCCCCCGGGGCCAAGGAGGCACCCAAGGGGGGGGAGCAACCCATCTGCCTGATCATGTCCTGGGAGTAGCCCAGCCGGTCATACAGGGCCCCCGCCGCCTCCTGCGGGACCTGCTCCACCCAGTCATGGACCACGTTGCAGCGCCAGTTGACCTTGACCTCCACCATGGAGGACTTACTCAGGCCCGACACAAGTTTGGTGTACACCGAGCAGCGATGACAGCGGAAGGGTGATTCGCTCGTCAGACCGCCCGGAAGCGCAACGCCTCCTTGCTGTCGTGGACGGGGGCAACCGGGATCTCCATCACCGGCAATGGGCAGTTAACGATGAAATTCTTGGCCGCCAGAAACGTCCCCATCTCCTTGAAGATGTAGCTCCATTCCGCCTTGTTGCTCGGCTTGGGGATGCCCAGGCTCTCCAGGAAGGGGACCGCCTCCTTCCTCATCTGGAGGATGTTGCCCATCCACTTATCCGAGGCCGAGCCCTCCGCATTGCGGCCCCGTCGCTGCGTCTTCACGACCAGCGGGAATGTGGTCCAGGCCGAGTAGATGTACTTGAAGGTGAATCTGTGGGCGTACCTTTGTCAAGCTCGGCAGGTCCCACGTTCTCGTCTGCCTCGTCCAAAACACTCCATCGCCCTTCGCCCAGAAGATCCCCACCACCTGCTCCGGCGCCGGGCGCTCGCCCCGGTTCACCTGCGCTCGGATCTCCAAGGCCGAGTAGATGATTGGGTCGATGTGGTCCCGCTCACACGTGAGCGGGTGCGTCCTGCGCTCCAGGGCCAGGAGCTCCTCCGGCGTGAGCTTGAATTGCTGGTCCGCGCCCTTGGGGATCTCACCGCTGGAGTGCTTCTTCCAGATCCCCCCAAACATCCGCAGCTCCCCTTGGTGCCTCTTCATCGCCCAGAGGAGCAGGGACAACTTGCCCTCCTCCGAGTCCAGGTCCTGCGGTGGCATTGACTGGTCCCCCCCGGGGCCAGTGGCACCCTTGGGGGCCGGCGTCGCCAGATCAGGCATCTCCTCGAGCAGCGCCTCCTGGTTCCATGGGTTCTGCGCCTCTCTGAGCCTCCGGATGTAGGGGACATACTTCTCCTTGATGTCCCCCACGTTGGGGATGTCCTCGGGGTCATCCAGCTCCAAGGGGGCAGAACAGCCCCCTCCAGAGCCTTCCTGAGATCATCCGGCCATGCCGACACTTCCAAGGGCTTGAGGGTGTGGTTGAGCATCCATGCCTGGTTGGTGTCCTGGGTGCGCTTGTTCGCCTCCTGCGCCTCCTGGATGGAGCCCATGGCCTCAGCCAGTGCCTGGCTGGCGTCAACCCCTCCAGGTACTGGTCTCTCAGCTTGCCTTGAATCGCTCCAGGTTGACCTCATTGGCCACCTCCTCTGACGGCATGCCCTCCTGGAGAGGCGCCAGGATAGCCATCTCATTGTCCAGCATCTCATCCGTGACCAGCTCCTTGTGCCGCCGGACCCTTATGCAGCTCCTCCTTCTTCCGGATCGCCTGGTCCACCTGGGGGTGGTAGAGCTGGAAGCTCTGAGCCTCTGCCTCCTGCAGGGACCGCTGCACTTTGACCTTGACCTCCTGGCGCTCCCGGACCTTCAACGCCTCGTCGTCCGCCTCCATGGACAGGATCTCCTGCCGGATGTCCACCCGCCTGTTAAGCGGGACCACGTCTGCCATGGTGATCTCCTCTGCCGTGTCCGTTTTCGGAGGGGCTCTTCCCAGGACCGTGCCGTCCACCAGGTTGCGGTCTGCCTGTGCCCGGGTACCACCGGGGCCAGTGGCACCCAGGCTTCCCCCATCCCGCTGCTGGATCCAGGTCGGCTTGCCCTCCACAATGAGCAGGTTGTAAGTGACGCCGTCCGCCTCGTAGGTAGCCGAGGGTGCCTGGAAGGGGACAAACTCCTTGCCCGGGCAGACCCAGCATTGATTGGCTGCCTCCGGCCACCCCGTGCCGCACGCCTTGCACATGAAGTCTGAGTGGCCGGCATCGAGTCTGTGCATCCGCTGGGTGCCAATGCACGCCTTGTTCCTCTGGAACTGTGAGGCCCAGACCTCCTCCTGCCGGATCTGGATCTTCATCGGAACATAGGCCTCCAGGATGCGAATCACCAAGTCCTCCGTGAGGTTCTTCCCGACAAACTTGTGGAACAGGGAGACCGCCTCCTCCACCGTGACGTCCCTCAGCAACGTGGCCGCCGATGCCGGAAGGACCGGGAAGAGGTCGGGGAGGTCCACTAACTTGAAGTAGCCAGGACGGCCCTCCACCGGCACAAGGGAGACCGGTTTGTTCACCGGAGCCGAGGTCTTCTGGGAAGCCGCCACGAAACCCTTCAGCCTCTTCGTTGGTGGAGTAGCCTTCTCCGTGGCGTCCGCATCGTCCATGTCCTGGTCCTCCTCATCGGCGGGGCCAGGGGCACCCAAGCCGGAAGTCGGTGTGGAGAAAGCCACACGGAGACGCTCCAGTGCACTGGAGAGGTCGTTCATCACGTCGGTGGCCGAAGCCGACGGGGGGGCCTCGGGCTCGTCCAACACCAGGCCGGCCGCCACTGCCGCCTCGCGTGTGCGGATTTCCTGGGCCGCCTGGCTGGCCATTTCCACCTCCTCCGCAGTGAGCGTCTGGTCCTCAATCAGCTCGAAGGAAGTTGCCGAGGTTGCCGAGGAGGCCATTGCTGGTTCGGGGTTAGTTCGGAAGAGATTCACCTCATTTTTTTTTTTCACACAAGTTGGGTTCAGAGAACCCAGGGCAAAGCTTGAGCCAAAATGGCATGCGCCATTGTGGTCAAGCATTGCCAACACAGTTCATGTTTCCACATGCGTTTCAACATTAACAAAATATACATATTAATATGTGTGTGTGTGCAATTGTCTGTAGTGGTAGTTTGGGGGTAGTGGAAACCCTGTTCGATTCTCAAGGGGAACTTTCGCCACCCCCCCAATTCCCGCGCTCCAGATCTTCGAGTGCAGGCGAGAGTCTCGTCCAGCCATTTCTGAAACCTAAGGCGCCAGGTTTAATCGATTTGTAGAGAAACATCGGCCCCAGATCTGTGTAAGAAGCTGGTGGGCAAATGGAGGGTACTTCTCCAAAAGTGAAGGATCGTGTCCGAATCCAGGTTCAATCGTAGGTTCATGTAGGTTCCCAACACTGAAAGGATCTGAAAAACTACGCTATTACGCCGTGCCGCCACTCCTTCCGGTTTTCGGCCGGCGCCACTCCCAGCTTGCCCAGCCTCGGTCGAGTGAGTGAATCCCCTGAAAACTCCGCCACCTGGCTTTGCCTGAGTGCACATGACAAAGGGCTCCCCAAAGGAAATTCATCTTGTTTGAAGCCTCTGGCCAGGCCATGGTGCTCACCTGCTTCATGCGTTTTGTTTTTTTTTTTTTGCAAAGACAGGTGCATCTGTGCTTGAACGCGCGTCCACATGTGGCGCACAGTACACGGAGCACGTCAGGTCAAGCAAGCCCACCATGTCGGCTTCCATTTCCCGAGTGCCAACGCATGCGCTGCTTCCCATGCAGTTTGTGCCAACACCCGCCACGGTCCTTCTTCCAGCCCTATCAGCCCGAGCAGCTCCTCTTTGAGTGCCGAGTCGTTGGGATTTGCCTGCCGCAGTGCTTATGGGCTGCCTCATGGCAGCTATATTATGCAAATGCGGCCTCGCGTTTTTACTCTGGCTATTCACGAACCAATCATGGGGGAACCATACTTACAGAACATTGCCAAAAACCTGGAACCGCAAACTGGTGGACTAAGACTAAGTGGGTCACATACCCCCCTCGAACAAACCACGACAAATAGGAGGGACCGCCCACTTACATAACCAGGGTGAACTAACCTACCATCAGGGAGCCGGTGGATGAACAGCCATCCGTTACAAATATTACTGCATGCATAACCATGACTGGATTGTCCGATCCAGTCCTGACCCACGTTGATAAGACTCCAATTATATAACCAGGGTGAACGAACCTACATCAGGGAGCCGCTGGATGAACAGCCATCCGTTACAAACATTGCTGCATTGATTCATAACCATGACTGGGTTGTCCGATCTAGTTCTGACTCACGTTGCTTAGATTCCAATTACATCACCAGGGTGAACTAACCTACATCAGGGAGCCGCTGGATGAACAGCCATCCGCTACAAACATTGCTGCATTCATAACCATGACTGGATTGTCCAATGGATGAACAGCCATCCGTTACAAACATTGCTGCATTCATAACCATGACTGGATTGTCCGATCTAGTTCTGACCCACGTTGTTTAGATTCCAATTACATAACCAGGGTGAACTAACCTACATCAGGGAGCCGCTGGATGAACAGCCATCCGTTACAAACATTGCTGCATTGATTCATAACCATGACTGGATTGTCCGATCTAGTTCTGACCCACGTTGTATGGGTTCCATCTATATTGTTGAATGAGTTGACTTTCCTTTGGGTCGAAGAACACATTGGGACACATTGGGGTATGACTGATGTCCTTCCGCTGCCCCTTCCTGTGCCTTCCCACACCCCCTTGCCCGCGTTTCCGCGCGCTTGGATGCACGGTTGTTTCCTTGTTTCCCTCGCACGACGCAAGCGCCCGCAGTTTCTGAGGGGTTGCTTGGACTGGTCCGCAAGCACGTCGAGAGCTTCAGAGGCTCAAGCATCTGCGCCGCGCGTGGCCCACGCGCTATCAGGCGATCAGAGCTCCTCAGTCCTGTGCTTCGTCATGGTGTAGACCTTCGAGCGTCCGGATGCAAAACATGACAGAGACGCTTTTCGTGCAAGAGACGCACCGAGGCATCGACATAGTAGTCATCGTAGCTCAAGGCATGATGCACATCCCAGCCATACGAGCTGTTCCCTGGGCGCGGCTCGGCACCGTTGGTCCATCAGCACGCTTATGGTTCAACCACGCGGCGAAAAAAGAGCTCCGTGTCCAGCTCATCCGGCTGACCCAAGGAGATGGAAATGAAGCCTCAAGACTTTAGAGAAATCCACCCAACCCATCCGACGCGCAAAGTTTCGCCATCCAGCGGAGTGGGTGTGAGAGGCTCTGCCGCGAGCCTCCGAAGAGCCCACTTCCACCCCAAAAGATTCGGGGGGGGGAAAAAACTACCAACGGTGCAACCACCAGACCACACAGCCGTTCTGCCATTTAAAAAAAAAACAGAAAAGCGCCAGGCCCCTCGGGCTTCTGAACATGCAGCTGACATGGAGAACTGAGACTACTCATAGATGTGCTGTGCAACCCCGGACCCCATCTGTCCACCCTCTCGCCCCAGTTGTTCTCTTCCGATCCAAGTCGCGCCCCCCCGGCCGCAGCACGCGGGCGATCTCCGAGAACATCAGGGGCCACTCCTTGAAGGCACCTGCGAAAGATCCCCCAGCGTTTTCAAGAGGAACCAACCAGAGGACATGTCATGGAAAATGCCCTGCAAACCGGTGAACTTGTGTGGCAAAATATCGGAAAACTGCCTCGGGTTACCGCAAAGGGTGGCCTTACAGAACACGCGAGACATGAGAAGGAATCTCTTGAGTTCCTTTTCAATAGCCCTGAGGCTATGGCACCGGTTTGCCTCACCTCGCGTGGCAAGCCAAAGGAGCCACGTAATTCCTGGCACCAGTGGCCTGGATGCATTGTATGCGCTTCCAAACCTATGGCTGCCCACCCCTGCGACAGTGTCGGCGCGTCCTGCCTTCTCCGTCCATCCTTAGCTCACCATCCTGTTCCAAGGAGAACGTGTTTGAGTAAGGTGCTATCTGCCACCATCCAGTGGGGATCACTGGCTTGGCGGATGCGATTGAAACACAAAAAAATCAAGGATCCCAAAAGTGAAGGATTTAGGATTGATTTTTCTGACCAACCCGGCCAGTCTGGCATTCCGACCTCAAAAAAAGCACTCCTCCAGGCCCCCCCCAAAAAAAAAAAAAACGAAAAACCAAAAAACGGGGGGGCCGAAACGGACTCCAATTCGCATCCCAGGCGCAGCGCCTTCTCGATGACCACGTCGAAGCTGCGCTCGTGGAACCGCATTTTGCGGGCGTCCCCCCGGGCCCACTTCAGCTCCGGGAACTTCCGCCGCTGCAGGCGGATCGCCTTCCTGGTGGAAAGAAAAAAATCGGGCGAGGCATCCAGCAAAGGAGTTGCCAGAAGCAACAAAAGCAAAAGGCCTGGAAAGGTGCGTAAGGGGTTGGATTGTGCTTTGTCGTTGTTGCTTCTTTCCTGCTCTCTCTGTTGTTTCTAGTGGCTTGGTGGTGTCAAATGGATGTCCATCCAACCGACATGCCAAGCTGCTTGCTGTAGTCCATGCCCAGCACGCTGGTAAAGCCCTCCCGAGCCAGGTCTGCTGGAAGATTGCTGTTGCCGCAGCCAACCACCAAAATGTCCTTGCCACCCCAGGCCAAAATGAGTCACAATCAAAACCCGGTATTGAAATGGTTGACCCAGAACCATGAAAGGAAGTACAAAGGCGGCCGCAGCTGTTTCTGGGTCCCTTACTAACCTTCATTTACCCGGGTTGTGATTGTGGCTCAAATGGATCTTGACCAAAAGGCCGGTGGGCACTGTGACCCTGCCCACCAGTGGATGAAGGAATGCTCATCACCACCCCCCCCCAAAAAAAATAAAAATAAAAATAAAAACATTTGTGTTTCAGGAGCTGTTGCGCTATTTCTTGTTGGCGGCGGCAGGGTCCCGGCCCTTCCACATTTTCCTCATTGCAGGGTAAAGAAGGTTCCATATAAACCGTCCCAATCTCTCTCCACCCAGAAGGACTCCCTTACTTCACATGGGCCCAAAGATGCGGTTTCAATCCAAAGAATGCGAGACTCATATAACCAGCCTCTCAGCGAGCTGAGGCGCATCCGTCTTCCGGAAGGCCGGGCCAAACACATCCGGCCGGAACTTCTCCCAGGGGCCATACCTCTGCATAGCTTCGGGTTTCAAATGCCCAAACCTTCGGGCTCCATATCTCAGCCACGTCCACCAAAAAAGGAGCGCATCTGGAATGCGGGAACGGTGTGCTTTCCCTTGCTTAAATCATGGGAGCGGTTCCGGAAAGGACCCTCAAACTAGGCAAAACGCATGCACAACTGGCCCAGGAGAGACGAGGCACCAATCCTTGCCAGCCTGCGCCCGGGGATCCGCATAGGTGCTCTCCTCAGACGGCACGCGTGCCGCGTTCCAAACTAAGAGGCTTTGCAACTATCCCCAGTGTGTACAAATGTATACATGCATGTTTTAGCTATGTACATAGTATGTATGTATGCACGCATGCATACATGTAGGTATGTATGCATGCATGTATATAGTAGCCACAGAATCGCGGCATCCCTGAATTTCCCTGGGGGTAGAGGACTGCGAGTAGTGGAAACCATCAAAAACCAAAAGCAAAAAAAATGACAACGGTGTAAATGGATTGGCGCTGCTTCAGGCAACTGTTGTCTTCACCCCGATGCGCTCAGCCCAGGCTCCCAGTAGCGGTAGCGATCCTTCGGCGTCATCTGCAACTTCCCATCCCTTTGCTCATCGTGGAAGGCGTCCTGCTGTGCCCATGCTCCAAGTGCTCCAAGCCTGGGCCGAGCTGACCAAAGGCCCCGCTCCAAGCTTCAGCCCAAGCGGGGCGAGGTGAACAGCCGAAAGCCAAAGACGCGTCTGAAAGTACAAGAAGCCCAGGACACAAGTCTCTGTTTGATTCGGCGCAGGGGCAGCAAGGGATGATACTCTCCGGAAGTTGGCAGTTGAATCAGTCGCGCTGGCGCCCCGGTTCCTTTCAGCAGACAAGTCGAATTCGCCCACCCAAGCTTTGGAAGCCCTGACGTCCGGGGCACCCTGCCAAGTCACCACGAGGCAGTGACACATTAAGCTTCCATCGCACGCAGCCGCGCGCGCGCTGTTTCAGTCACACAACGCCTCCGAAGAATGCGGAGACTTGACCAGAGAATTGCACCTTGGTTTGCTACGTAATTCAAGCAAGGACGCTCTGAGCCACAATTCTGAGGGAAAGAAGATTCCAAGGGCATAAGCAAGTGCAGCCACTCGTGTGCTCCTCGTACAACGGAGATCTCCAGCCTTCAGTTCCTTCTCCACAATGTCGTAGCGCTTCATGACGGCATCCACTAAGGACCTCAGTCTCCCTGAGCCGAATCACAAAGGGACACCCCATCGCTAAACCCGGCAAGGGCAGTGGGAATCGCAAACCGCCCGATGGCCTTCCCAAAAAAAAAGTCTTTAGAGAGTGACAGTCCAACAGCCCTACTCGCTCGAAACTCCCCCCAAACCAAAAAACAAAACGTCCGGACGAGGGAACCTGGAAATCGGGAGAGCGGGCCGCTTGCTTGACGAAGGCCGGGCGAAGAGCTGAGGCCCCAGCAGTCCAGCCCGCTCCGCCGCGGCGGAGTAGGCGGTGCGGAAGCCCTTGTTGCCTCCGGGGGGGGGCCTCCACTTCGTTTTTTCTGGGCAGCAACCTGGCTCCATGTCGAACTGTGACTGGCAAAAGAGCCTGGAACAGGAAAACAAGCCTCGCTTGGAGAAGTAGGCACCCCCTTTTGCTCATGTAATTTCATGGGAAAAAGGCCCAACCGAAAGCAGAGCCGTGCTTTCGGCCAAAGCCTTACCTTCCCTCACCAAACCGACCTGACAGAGGGTCCCTTGAGGAAGTTCATCTTCCAAATGCCCTCCCACCTGGCCCCAGGCCTAGAGATGTGACAGGTCCTGGGTTAAACTCCAGCTTCGAGGATGAGCTTCCACCCGAGAGCAAGACACCCATGCCTTGGACGTCGGAGACACCCCCAGAAGCACCAGGCGCAAGCCAAATCACAATAAGGCAACCCCAAAATCGTAGGTTTCCCTCCTGTTGTCCCTCTCAACCAACCTGAAAAAAGGGTACCATCCAAAAAAAAAAAAAAGAACCCTGATTCTCTGACCTGTGGAGGCCCATGTGATAAGTTCAGGCAAGACGCAGGTGATGTTGTCTTTGGAGTCCTCGCGGGGATTTCATGATTCCCTGATCCATCAAAAGCATCAGCTGCTCATGTAGCAGCCCCAAAAAAGGCGAAAGGGATTATTTTGGGCCTTCAAACGTGACCGCGCAGACAGCCCCCGCCCCCGCCCCCCCTCGCGAGTCACATCTAATCAGCACATCATGCACATCTGCCAAAGCTGCGGTTCCATCACACTCCAGACCTTGATGTCCGCTTCAAAAAAAAAACAGAAGAAAAAAACTGGAGAAGCCACAGGTCCTCCCCCTTTAAAAGAAAAAAAAAAAAAAAAAAAAACGGAGAAGCCGCGCAACGGCCCTGCCCTTCCCATGCCACCCCCGTCCGTGGCTACGGCTTTGTGACATACCGCCTTGACGGCCTCCCCCAGGTCTTTGCCCTCCCGTAGCCTCACGAGCGCCCGGAAAAAGGCGAAGTGCCCCGGGAGGCGAACATGGACGCCAAACCTCTGTGTTTTTGTGGTGGTTCCCCGTTTTGCGGGAAAAAACAATATATATATATATATATATACACATATACATATATACATATACCCTCCATACCTGCACAACTCCGAAAAACAGGCTTCATCCATCCTTTTGAAAATTGAAGGCCAGCAGCAGGGAGGCGACCAGCTTCACCACATCTGTGTTGGGAAAGTTGCCCTCGGAAACTCCTCATGCACGACTCGCGGCGGTAAGCCGCGCTGCGGTTGCAGGCGTCGAAAGAGCCAAACTACCCTCACGACATGGAAATGACCCCATAAGCTCCGACATCCCATTTTAGGGGGGAGAGGCGGGGGGTTGAGGGTGCAGGTATGGACGTTTGCAGGGAAAAACGCGGTGACGGCACGGCTTGGCCAGGATGCCATCACACACGAGCAGAAGGAAGTCAGAGGAGTCACACCTGAGCTGCGAACGAACGATTGCACACTGAACTGTTCCGCATGCATTGAGACAATGCAGGTACCAATGAATTGGACGACAAGTGCGTATTTGTGTGTGTGTGTGTGTGCTCTTCCATCTTTTACAGTAAAAAGGTAAAAAGGGTTTGCCCGGAAAAAAGAAACAAGAGTGCCCAGGGGCGCGAAATTCGGGTGGCCAAATATGCTCTTGAGCAACACTATCAATCAGTATTACCATTATCGCCTATGTGTTAGAGCTTGTGTGCCCATAAGCCACACATTACTCGACTTTGGGTGTCTTAAAACGGTCTGTGGACCCCTTTTTGGTTGGTCTTCCCAAAAAGGAAGGAAAAACAAAAACGGCGGGAAACCAAACATTCTCAAGAACCCTGCAGAAGTTCGAGAAACACCTGAGAAAACAAGCCAACCAAACAACGTGGCGTGCCAGCCATGGAGAGAAAACATGCGAGGAAGTCTCTGCATTTATTTTTCCTCCAATTCCAAAAGCTGAATTGAGAGTTAAGTGGATGTTCAGGCCAAGAAAATCTTTCTCATGGCGTTCGCTCGTCTTTTGCCCCAACCTCATGGCTTTCGCTCGTGTTACCCCAATTGGCATAATCAACAATTAAGGAAGTGTCAGGTAGCCCATGGGTTGAGCTCGTGTTACTCGATTGGCATGGTTTTACCCAATCGGCAGAGCTCATCATACCCCGTAGCCATGCACCTTTCTGCCTCGGCGCTCAAAGGTGCCCGTCTCCGGGTCTACCGTCACCGGGCGCTCCTCGGGGCCCGGGCCGCCCGTGGACTTCTCCTCCTCGCACCCACCACACGCCGATTTTCGGCGGTGTTTGGCCGCTTAGCGTTCGACACGTCGTGCTGTTTTTAGTTGTTGTTGTTGTTGTTTTGTTTTTTTTTTGGGGGGGGGGGTTGTTTTGGGTGTCTTTTTTGGCTTGGAGTTGTCTTGGTCCTTGAGTTTGGGAGACGTTATTCATGTGTGGTTTGTGCGTTGTTGTTCTTGTGCATGTCTTTTTGTGTTTACCTGTTCTTTACTGTTGCTTCTATTCTTTGTGGGTAACGGGGAGAGAAATGGCATGCCAGACATGTCGCGCACGTTTCTCTTTCCTCACCCATCCAACAAGAGCGTGGCCGCGACCCCTGCAGCCGGGCCTTGTCTCCGAAGCCGCGGCTGACGGCCAGGTTGCCGTTCACCCGGGCCACTCCCCCCTCTGCCAGCTCCACCGTCCCGCCGCAGCGCTCAATGCGGCTCTTCTCGCCCGGGTGGTCGGGCTTATGGTCGGTGGTGAGTCCTAGCACGGGTTCCTTGCTTGAACCTCCCTCAGCAGAAAGGTCCGAAATCAACTTGTTAGACAGTGCTTCAAAACGGACATTTCAAGGGAAGAGAGATTCAAATTCTGAGACTACACCTCAACCCTCTCCTTTGTCGGTGCCTCCGCCATCTACGATACTACCATCCCGGCGCCCCAGCAGCACCCGGCTGTCCCCCGCGTTGACCACCAGCAGCTGGCGCTTGGCGCCCGGCCCATTGCGCACCACGCACCTAGAAGCCACCCACCGCAAGAAGTGGAAGGTAACGACTCCCCTTGACGGGTTAGCAGGTTGCTTAAAGTTTGGTTGCACGGACCCTTCACCCATCACAAAGCTCTCAAGGGTCAGGGGAAAGTCAAACATCTTGATGTTTGGCGGGGTTCAAGGTCTGCGTGCCTAGCCTAACTCATCTCAAACCAGTCGAACATCCAAAAACCAAGGCACATGGTGGCCGTGGAGCCGCTGGTCTGAGCGGAGTCTAGGAATTCTTGGTCCACCTTGTGGAACCTCGGGTGATGCGAATATGGAGTTTTCTGCGCCATCGGTACCCCGCTTTGGGTTTCGGGGTCTGGGGTTGACTTGGGCTGGGTTAGGGTGGGCTTTGGTTTGGTGAGCAAGTCCAACCATCTTCCCTTGGGCCGAAGAACCCCCAGTCCGGCAACAACGGGCACACAAGCTGATATACGCTATACCCTAGGGAGGGGAAAAAACAAAAACATCACATCCAAAGGAACTGACTCTTGGCGTATGCCTTTGGTCGAATACAAGTTCTCAGGGCCTTTGGGTTTCTCAGTTGCGTTGCCGCTGAAAAAAGCCACGCGGCAGCTTCTTCATCTCGCCAGCTTCCGGGCAGCCCATGGCTCCCAGCTCCTCACCCAGCCTGAAACGTCCCAGCTCCCAGCTCTTTGCACGATATGATACGCATATACCCAGAAGTATGTCGGCGTGTGTCTGTGTGCAGGTGTTTGTGCACGACACCAGTACCATACGTATGTATAAGACTATACTTATGTATGTGAGATAGTCAAAAACAACTGTACCCAGCAAACTAGGGCGCCACTTTGAATGAATGGATGGATCATGGATTTCACTGATTTATGATGAGAACCACTCAGAAACTAATGGAATCCGACTGTGCTTAACCAGACGCACCTAAAAGGACACCAATACTCCGAAACCCCCTCCATGTGTATGCAACAGTGGAAAAGTGGTAAACACTCCGCTTTCCCAACAGCAGGCTTGCTGGGAGAATGGGGAAAGGCAGGAATGCCTCAGTTGAGGACAGAGCAGGGGGATGACCTCGAAATTCACGATTACTTTCTGGTTGCCAGGGCCAAGGGAATCCGCAGAAGAGGCTAGTTGCCCAATGCCATGGCTTGCCCGGGTGCTGACAAAACTCAACAACGCAAAGGTTTGAAGGAGAGAGAGCTTGGGTCTGGCTGGGCCTTCCTCTAGATGTATGAAAGGGTCCGATTGCTCCAAACTACTTCAGGGGCTGACCCACCAAGACCTTGCAATGAAGCACATGGAACACAGCACGCGACAATGCTTCATGACAAGGCCGCCATGCTTCACCCATGTGACGTGCCTTCCTCGGAAGCCCCCTCTGGCTCCCCCCGCCTTTTGGCCACGAACTCGGAGCAGGCACCTGGAATATCTGAGTCCACATCTGTCCAAGGAAAACCTTCCAAGGGCAGGGCAAAAGCCTTGGAAAGGTCTGAGGTCTGTGGGCCCCCGTTCTGTCGTCAAGGGGGCGACACATGTTGGGGCACAAGCAGTTTCATCATGTGTCCGTGAAGAGCCTCCCGAGGGAGGGCCTCCCCAGATTTGGTCTTCTTGCATGTTTAATGTTGGTTCAGGTGTTCTGTGTTCTTCATGATGTGTGATCGTTGTTGGGGGTACTTTGCTCGAATCTAGCTGCAATTGCTCAACTCCGCCAAGTGCATAGGTAACGGCAAAGGTGGGGCCCGCAAAGCAGGAGCGAGAAGCCAAACCTGCTGCGAAGTTCACCAGTGTGATGTTGAGGGCAGCCCAGTCTCCCAAATCAAGCAAGAATTTCGGAGGGGTTCCAAAATGTAAGAAAATGCGACTGTTTGCTAGCAGGGCATATTAAAGGTTAGAAGCCTTAATAAGGCTTAATAAGGCTTAATAAGGCTTAATGTGGTGGGGAGGCCCCCCCCCCAAAACCTGCACAGGGACACGCTTTTGGCCCCCGCCCCCCTTCCCTTCCTCCCCCTTCCCCGTCCCCTCCTCCCCTCCCTTCCCCATCCCCTGTTCCCCCCCCTCCCCTCCCCCTACCACCCCTCTTACTTCTCAAAAAGAAACGATGTTTTGGTCCCTTTTCGAAGTATGGTACTTTGATGTCTTTCGAGATGGCGGTTTTAAAGGATGTTTTGAAAATAAGAGAACATGTCCGTTTTGAGCATTCTCATCTAAATAACAAATTATTAAGCCTTATTAAGCCTTATTAAGCCTTAATAAGGCTTAATAAGGCTTAATAAGCCTTAATAAGGCTTAATAAAGCTTAATAAGGCTTAATAAGGCTTAATAAGGCTTAATAAGGCTTAATATGGATTCGGGTCAAATCTGGGGAGGCCCTCCCTCGGGAGGCTCTTCAAGGACACATGATTTCAGGGCCTCCGCCGTGACCATCGAAGACCCCGAAAACACCATAGGTCTCGCGCAGCAGGATGAGGTGGGCATCCTCCATGCTGTTGCGCCAGCCATTCCTGCAGTGTCAAGAGCAAGGTGTAAAGCAAAACCAGGCGTGGCGCAAGTAGAGCGCAGTACACCGTGTATCACCGACCGGCACTAGACCGTAGAATGCCCTTAAAGCATTGCCTTCTAAGGCAAAGAATTTGGTGTGACGAGCGATGCAAGCAGGGAGCATCTCTGCCACGGCGACATAGAAGTCATCCTTAGCTTCACAGCCCAGAATGGACTTCGCTCACAAGTAAAGCGGCAGCAGCCAGACTGCCGGTTCACGCTGGTGAGAATTGCTAACGAAATGCTGGCATGTGAGTTTGAAAATCAGCGCAAACACCAGAACACCCCCACGCACCGTGCACAGCCACATGCCAACCCAACCCAAAAACGGACAAGGTCTCACCCTCGCATGCCTGTGATTACTCCCTCTCTTGGTCCCGCTGGTGTCTCATTTGGTCTGAAAGGGCACCAAAGACATTGAACGAGTGCATCGGGCCGTCATTGGAAAACCCGTGGCCGATTCCCTTCCCAACACCCCCCCCCAAAAAAAAAAAACAAAAGGAAACAAAAAGGATAAAAAAAAAACAAAACAAAAATGCAAAACAAAAAATAACAACAATAAGAAGAAAAGCAGAAAGAAAAAAAAGGAGGAGAAAAAAAAAAGAAGAAAAATAAGAAAAGGCTGAGCGGCGGAGCCCTGGCGCTCCACCACTGTGGACTCCACCGGCTTGGGCAGCGGCAGGCTGGCGCCCATGGCCTCAGCGCGGAAGCCTCTTACCTTTGGGTGGCTTGGGTACCGTAGGCGAAGATGGAGCTGGGGGAGAAAATAAACACACAGCAGCTCATTTGTTGGGAGTCACCGGGGCCGCTCAGCAAGCTGGATCGTGAATCCAAGTTGCGTTGAAGAAAACCTTTCTGCCGGTGAATGGCCAGAAACAACTGAAACCAACGGGAAGCCTGATTTGCCCACATTGCATCACACGGCAATGGAGCAATGGAGCCTGTGCCAATGGGAGGGCCACCAACCTCCCAAGAAAACAAAAGCCCTCAACGAGCGGGAAAATGCCGAGCCCTCGCTCAGACCCGGACTGAAAACCAAATGCATGGGGGAAGAAAACGCTGGAGCCTGCTGATGCAAAGCATTCCTCACTCCAGACAGAATTTCACTCGAGTTCGTGCACAATTGTCCTGCATCTTGACAGCTCCAGAATGCAGCTGACTGGCATTTCCCTTGCTTCGATCTAGGGCATTCTTTCAGTGAAACATTGGAGATCACGTCTCGTGACCGCCGAACTATCATGAAACTAGCTGTGATGCCCCAGCTGTTTTCAAGCCGTACGGGCCAAACGTGCAGAAAATAAAGTACGTGACACCTGCCTTCCTCAACATGGGAAGTCCAATGTCACGGACAAATGACCCTCGTCAACAGCCTCTGCGTCTGACAGGGACAGGATCGTCTCCACATCACTGCCATCCTTCTCGCCAGTACTTGCGGCCGTTTGCTTGGTATCTCCTCAGCGTGTGGGCATTTGAGCGTGATGGTTCATTGCTGTTTTTTGTCACGCACGGGTCGAAATCGACTGCATTTTGCCCATGATCACTGGGCTGTTCAGGTGCTTGTCTTGACCAACACAGCAGACGAGTGGGGTGACACGTTTGCCAGTCGGCCAACCTCGTTGCACATGAGTGTCTCCCTGTTAAATGCAACCGAGCAACTGCTCTTTCCCAGCGTTACTGGGATGGTGCTCCGCAGGAGCGGAGCACCTATCCTGAAGACTTTTGTGCGGATCTCGGTCGAAGCTTGACCTTCTGCAACCGTGCACTGGGCATTGGGCGAAGTCTCTGAAGTGGACACCAGCGGTCTCCGCGGATACCCTGCCGGCTTCTCCGGCTCAGCCCTCGAAGCCACATCCTTCCCAGCCTAGGCCGGCTCCCCAGGCTTGACCCCCAAAAAAGATGTGCTTGTGTTGATTCTGGACCATGTTTGTAGGCAAAAAAAATACGGGAGGAAAAAAAAAACCACGGGCCTCCTCTGGCTTGGCCTCCTTGGCCTCCTTGGCTTCCGCCTCTTTGGCTTCCGACTTCACCTTGGCGCGCCTCGACTTTGGGGACTTGACGCCCTCCTTCAACTCCAGCTCCGGCGCGCGGACAGGGCTCGGGGGAAGCTCCGGGCTCGCGTAGCCGGCCGCTTGCTTCTTGGGCAGGGGCGTGCGCAGGTCGGCCCCCAGCAGATCCGCGACACCCAAAGCACCTGCCAGCTTTGCCTTGGACATGACGGGCTGTGTTTGGCCGACACCACACCTACACCACACCTTGAGCCCGCGAAAGTGCCAAATCTTGTGGAGGCCAAGCAAATGCTGTGCACAACCCAACCCAGCCAGCAAATTTGTAGCCAACACGAACACCAAGACAGAGCCTTCCTCATGTCCAATACCCAAAAGGCTTACCATTGTCAAAAACGGAAACACCGAAGAAACAAAAAAATCCTCAGATCTGGGGAATAGATTTCTTTGCTTGCTTGTCTTCCTCGAGGTGTTTTTGATGTTTCAGATTGGGCAATGTTCCTCACATTCTCCGAGCATTCCTCCAATGTTGCTCTAGTATTCCTTCAGCTTTTTCCTGGTAGACCCCTAGTTCTCTCAATGCTCTCTTGATATTCCCTCATTTGCTTGTTTCTTTCTTCTTTCCCCGAAAGCGCTGCGAAGGGTTCTTTTATGCGAAGTTCTTGGACCAAATTGTACAGAGTCAGTCGGTTTCGGTTGGAAAATTATAATTTTTGAGTACAAACGCAGTACGCGGAGCGCCCCCACCGCTCAGGCTGAGCATCATGTGCAAAGATCAGTTGGAAGACAGATGTCGAGCCACTTGAGAAGGGGAGACACGAAAGGTAGGATGCCGTATTATACCCCTAAACAATGGAATGTCCCCAAGACAAAATCTGGAGGTGTTGGTGCTAAAACTGAGGTACCCCCAGCCCCGTATAATTGTGCATAGCACACTATGAAGCAGACGTGCACTCAGTGTCCCGTACCAACTTCAATGCACTGCGATTTGACTGGGAGGACCGGCCTTGAAACACAAGCGCAAACCGGTGCGAAAAGCGGACCAGAGCGTGAAGCGAAGCGAGCGAAGAGAGCGCCGAGAAGACCGGAAAAAGGAGCGAAGCTGCCAATCAGACAGGGGGGCCAAACCAGGGGGGAGCCGAAGGTGGGAGGCCCAGACCTCAATCTAGCCTTGCTAGCGCAAGGACAAATTCAAGCTAGCCTCCTTGAGGCTACCTTTCGTGATTTGCGCACAGCAGCTTGCAGAGAGCAAGCTAGCCTTGAACAATGCGGCTTGCGCCGACCACTTGCATGAGAAATCGTGCGGCACAACTTGCGCAGCGCGAACTGCGCTGAGCAGACTTGCACCGAGCCAATTTGTGCAGAGCCACTCGCGAAAAGTAGCTTGCGCAGAGCCAAGTTTCACGGAGCCAAGATGCACAGAGCCATCTTACATCGATGTAAAAGGTGAGTGCATGAAGAGAACACTTGATTCTAAAAAACATGTTTGCGGGCCAGGATAGATACATAGGATACGGTAGGATACGCTAGGATAAGTCGGGAGAATTTGTGGAAAAATAGCATAAGACATGATAAGACAGCATAAGGCAGGATATGATAGGAGAATGGAAAAAGGCTAACATATGATTATACATACATACATACATACATACATACATACATACATACATACATACATACATACATACATGCATGCATGCATACATACATACATACATACATACATACATACATACATACATACATACATATACATATATATATATATATATATATATATTGGTGTTGATAAATAGATTTGTTGTTTGCCGCCCCTCGGTTCTCCCCCCCTCCCATAAAAGTTAGGGGATGCCCCCGGCACAAGGGGTCTCGGCGGCTGTTTTTATGGAGGCCAGCTCCTCACGTGCAATAAAGCTGGCCATTTGTACCCCAGCAGCCCCCGGCCTCAGCGGGCCGGGCATCGGCTGGCAGAAGGGGGCCCCGGCACCGCTGTCTGCAAGCAGCTCGCCAAGAGGCGGCAAACTGCCATCAAGATTGCAATGCTGCGCCCCGACCGGCATGCCCGTCAAAGAGACGGCAAAGGCGGACATCGTGGCATGCGCCAAGAGCGCGGACCAGCGCGCGACAAGCACGGATCGCAAGCTGGTCCGGAGCCTGGCGGGGGCCTCGCGCGCCTTGGCACGCGCAAGTGAACAACGGCCGCCGACCTCGATTGCGAGCACGACCAGGCGGCATCTGGCAGAGCGAAGGAGCTCGGGGTACGTCCGCTCCTTGCGGCGGCGAGCGTTGGCCAAGGCAGCTCCAGCAACACGGCCACCCCTCCGGCAAGGCTGACCCTGGCTCGACACAAGGGTGGTGTCAACCGCAAGCTGCTGACCCCCCCACAAAGGCAAGCCGTTTGCAACAACCTCCAGCTGTCTGCCGTCTACCCGCTCGACGTGGAGGTTCATGTCAGCAAGCCGCGTGTTGCATGTGACTCTGGCACCAGCCTCCCGGCAGACACGCGCCGCCGCTCTCTCCAAAGGACAACCGCGGCTCCGAAGGACGCCCGACCGGGCACAGGCTGCACGGTGGTGCAGGTGCGCGCGGTGAGCGGAAACGGAAGGCGGAGACGCCGGAGAAGAAGCACACGGAACAGCTGGGAAGGACCTTCGAAGGATAATCCAGGGCGGGGCTGGTGAGAACAGTGGTGAGAAACCGGAGCAAAGCCGCGCTGGATGGGTCCAGAGTGGAGAGCAACCGCGCACACGCCGCGGGCAACGGTCGCGGCCGCAGCCCCTTGCCATCCGCGAACAAAAGTGGGGGGCCCGTCCTCTTGGGCCGGCGCCGGCGCGCCGGCGCTGTGGAAGTAGCGCGAAGGCAGCGGGACCGGGGCCTCAAGGTCACAGAGGAAAGCTTGCGCCGCATGCGGCAAGTGCTGACGAAGGACAGGCAGACAATCCGCCCAAGATGCCCAATACGCTGAGGCAGAAGTTTGAGCTAACCAAGGCCACCGAGCGACAAGGGCAACTGGGCGATGCTTCGAGCCTGGTCGGGAAGACCGTCGACACCAAGAAAGTCCGCGAAAGTCGACAGAATAGCCGAGTCATGGGCACCGGCGTACTCGGCCGTGACCGACGGGGGAAGCATCCTCCGGAGAAGGTAGTTGCAGCGGCAACAAAAAAACTGCAGCAACCAAAACGCTTGCAAGTCGAGCCCGGGCAAACGCTGCAGGAGCTGGTCATGGCTGGCTCGCGACGCCAGGAGCTGAGTCCGGACAAACGCGTCAGAACCAAAAGGGGCCCCAAGAACAGTAAGCCCTTGTTCTGCATCGGGCAAACGCCCAGCTCCAACCCAGCAGGACAAGTCCGGCATCCCAGGCTGACCAAGATCCCAGGCGCGTTCCACACTCGCGTCTTCCCCTCGTTGAGGCGCACGTGGCAGTGCACGTCAAGCTGGTGGGCCAAGGTTCCGTGCACATGTCCAACCCGGTCCGGCTGGTGGACTGAATACATAGAGGATATATAAAAAAATGAGATAGATACATATATATATATATATACATAGGATAAGGATAAGATACGCTACAACAGGATAAAAGCTTCGAAGCTAAGACGGGATACTATAGAGGTAGGTAAGGTAGACAAGGTAGACAGAGTAATTTGGAGTCGTCCTCTATTTTTTTCTCCGGACCTTTTGCCGTCGAGCAGCGGTGAGACCTTGGGTGACATGAGACTGGCGCTGCACTCGCCCTCAAGCGGCGCGCTGGCGCATCGCTAACGTCAGTGGGAAAGTTAAGGCTCGCAGCGACCGCTCCTGAGCGGCGCAAGCATCTGCACCTACCGGCGCTGCTAAGCGGAGCAGGGCTGGTGAGAGCTCGGCCTTGCGCCAAGCAAAAGCCACGGCCCATTCCCCTCGAGGGCAAGCGCCGTCAGGCAACGCTGCCGGGCAACCCTGGAGCTGCGGGTAGGTAACCTGGCGCTTATGCTCGGGCCGGCTGCGCCCGTCACGCTGGAAGCCATTCAGATGTGGTAGCTTGGTAGCAGCCAGTGCGCACTTACCTTGTCTGAGCCCATCCACCCACCCTGTCACTTGTAACAAAGGAAAAAGAATATTCATTTTTCTCACACGCCTTTTTGCATCAGCACGCGGAGCTGGCGTTGGAAAACGGTCAAACTATCAGCCCAGGAAGCCCAGTAAGCGGCGGGGGCTGAAGCAACAGCAGAACGCAGGCCGAGACCCCCCAGGCGCAAGGGAAGCTGCGCGACACGAGCGGGGAGAGCTGGCAAAAGGCCGCGCTGCAACAAATCCGACAAACAGTCCGCCCGGCATGCCGGCCTGCTCCAGCGCATCCGTGGGCTTGAAGATTTGGAAGCTTCGTGGCTGCTGTTGCTCTGCGCGTCCCCGCCCCTTGCAAGGCGCTTGAGCAGGTGAGGACGCTGGCCTCCAAAAAAACAGCGTGAGTGCCGCTGGTGCCCCCCCCCTTAAGCAGGGTTCCGGGAGGCTCGACGCCTGCGTTGCTCGATATAGCCCTTCCCCACCTTAAAGCTGCCGTCAGCCTTGTGCTTGCAGGCGGGGCCGCTCTGCGCGAGGCCCGGCGCAGAAAGGAGCGCACCTGCCCGGAGCTGTTGCGCTCCCAACGGTGCCGCCTTGTCGTGCTTTCCATCGAGGTGGGCCGGTGGAGCCCTGAAACGCGCAGCTTCCTCCGCAGCCTCGCTCGTGCGCGAGCTCGCACGCGAGCGCGGTGCCTAATGGCACCGCCATGCGCTGGTTTTCTGGGGCACCAGCTGCGGCTGGGCCCTGGAGGATTTACCTGAGCTGTGACAGGGTGGGTGGGAGGGCGCAAAAAAGAGGGTTATACCCTAAAGCATGACCCTTAGGAGGCTTGAAGCAGGAAAACGGCCACGCGTCCCGAAGATTCAATCAAGATTAATTAAAACATAAGGGAAAATGAAAACCCTAAACGTTAGAATCTTGATCACTGCTTCAATCCGTAAGGGAACATGCATCAAGTTCCCTTAGAGAACGACCGACAAAGGGTGCGCTCGCTCTTTTTCTTTGTAAGGCGTTGCTTGGAAGTTAAGGCTCGGGGGTGCAGGGGGAAAGACAGTGCGTGTCCTTTCCCCGTGTCTGCACCCCCCTGCGGAGCCTTCTCAAATGCCCCCACTTCAGGGTTCCAAGCAAACGGCCTAAACTATTGCCCCCTCTTCAGAGCGTTTGCGATGCACTTTTATGCTCCGGCCGCCACGGTGCGTCGGGCGGACGCAACGACAGCGCG